TGGGCGAAGAGATCACCGACGAAGACCTAGACCGTGATATCGATTCATATCGGAGACAGCGATTAGCTCAGGAGCAACTGCAGCAGAAACGCGCCCGCTTTGGGAGAGTCTATCCAATCGGACGCGATGATTATACCAGGGAGGTCACTGAGGCTAGTAAGATTGATGAAGAGGGTGATGAAGAAGAGAAAGGCACTGGAGTGATTTGCTTCTTATACAAGGACGGGTCAGTTCTCCTCTATTCCTGGCAGCTCAGGTATTCATCTGAGTAAACAACCAGAATTCCTCGGAGCGACAGAACTTTTGGGCATATACACACTCTAGCAAGTCGATATCCGCACTCAAAGTTCGTGTCAATCGTAGGCAACAAATGCATTGCAGACCTCCCAGATTCTCGAGTTCCCATGTTAATTGTATACCGCAAGGGGGAAATACGGAATCAACTTATTGCATGGGGAGCCGATCGTGAAAGACAGCTTGAAGGCAAGCTTATCCTTGATACCATTGCATATCAAGTCTAAGAATCATTGCAGAACTCGAGGCACTTTTGATTTTATGTGGCGCCTTAGATATTTCCCGTGGGCCACTGGGGGAACGACGAGCGACCGATGGCGACGACTTTGAAGAAGAGGATGATGATGATACGTCTTCTCGCATGCGGTCTGCTGCCACAAGTACGAATACTCGGGCACCCAAAAATGTACGGGCGCAAAGCAAGAAAGACGACTCGGACTCGGAATTTGAATTTGACATGTAGTCTGCAACAGTGTCAGAATTTGAGAAGTACCAAAGCTTAGCACCTAGTGCTTAACCCTCTTTTGCTTCGTGCTGTGAATCTTCTGGCTGATCTGCCTTCCGTTGGCTTCCATTGGTACGAACCTGCACTTTTTATGGTATACGAGAGTTTCCTTATGTACCGAGCCCCAGATTTGCCCCAGATGTACTTACTCCACTTGGGACGTTGCAAAAAGGGTAGTACTTTGAAGGTTAGCGAACAACCCGAGGAGAGGGATGTCAGAAAGGTAATACTGAAACTTGCCGTTGGCCTAGATTGGCCTGCGAGATTTCTTCTCAATATGTGGTCTTCAGTTCCGCTTGGGAGCGCGATCATGATGTGGAAATTTCTCAAAATTGGTTGGCAGAACGTTTGCTCTGCCGGGCGCCCCCAACATAATTTAGGCCGTCTGGCACGTAGATCTTTGGAAATAGGTAGATTCCGACCAGATCTTCCGGGATCACTACCAAGTTCTTCCGTGGAGGGCGCAGGCAGTCGTGTTGCGTACCAATCAATGGGTGATTTTATCCATAGGTCATATCGTGATCATGATCAGGGTCAATGTTTATGCGTTCTCGAAGACAGGGCACCTCAACGACACTCACATTTTTATACGACACTTACATTTGCCCAGTCAAGACTACATCATCTGAACGACTGACAGGAGAACTACTGTCTCGCCACAGCACCCAGGAAAGATGATGGCCTTCGATGAGCCGGAGGCTAAGCTTGAAGTTCCTTTGGACATCATCAACTCCGCAGCTGCACGCCAAATGATTTTCAAATCATTAACATATCGAAGAGGCAGGTCGTAAGCCTAACCTTTGGACCGTCTGTGGCGGATCTGGCATCGGAGCATTTTCCACTCCTGTGGCGAAAATGTCCCCTCAGGATAACCAATCGGGATCCCCAGAAGTCATAGTACAAGCACAAAATGCGAGTTCGGGCATCCAGTGCACCATTAGGCATCGATTAGGCGTGCTCCTAAGGTCCATCCCAATCAATTTTCTCGAGGACGCACCTATTCTTGGGAAGGATGTCTACTACTATGCAGCTTGAAGCACTTAACCGCGCTTTCATTCGTCACCGTCTCACTAGGTACATGATCCACAATTTTGGCCAGACACCGAGGTAGCGGGCCGGCGATGATCCTCCGTAACATTCGCAAGGCAATGAAACCAAACAGCCGAATGCTAATCCGTGAGTGCCATCTGCGGTCCAATGTAATGTTTACTCCAAAATCATTAATGATCTCGTGCTAGTGATTGCGTGATCTTCTACACATTGCCACAAACACCTGGTGTAAGAATAGATATCGATTAAGCATTGTGGAGCTCAGAATGCAGTCTGATGTATTTCTGAATTTATAATCCCCAAGGCCCCTGAACTCATATCGCCGGATTTCATGGCAGGCGGTTACGAATCACACCAAACAGACCTGACTATGTGGTTTGCAAAGACCGAACCCCGGAAGAGCTAAAGATCATTGGGCAAGTTCCTTATAGATATATTCGATGATCGACTAATGATGGTTCACAGGACTGCCGCTGGTCGACGTCTAGCACTCACCCAGGTTTATGAACGATGCTCATAGTCTTAGCTGAGGATCGTTCAGAGCTGATGCTAATAGCAAGATCTCCGAATACATGGATGGCCCGTGTCGTGGATATTTAGCGCCATGGTAGTCATGGATCGGCTCATGGAATTGTACGAGATGCTATGTACAATTTTCTGTAAGCTACCATGTAAACTATGATCAACCAGATATCCCCCACTCCCACGTTAGTGGAGGGAGGACTTTGTCGAACGCAAACGGATTCCCATCAACTAATGGCAACAAGATGTACTGTGCTCCCTTCCGCGTATAGCCGTCCAGCGGTAGTGGTTCCTCAAATGCCCGATACCCAATACACATGACAGTAACCTGAGCATGATGAATTCCAGGAAAGATGGGAGTCGGGGACTTGGCGCGTGAGCGTCGTTACCCATAAGAATATGTTCAGATATCAAAAGGTTTTGATGTCTGAAACTGTACAATACATCGGGAGATCTGGGCAGGATTGAACATACAGTTGCACTAGTGATTACGAGCCGAACGATTTTGAACCGCGGGATCAAAGCATATCAAATACTCTGTCCTTGAACAGCTTCACCTACTTTTCATGCGACTGACTTTCTTGTCCCACCATCTCTTTTGCTGGACGTATTCTCCAATAACTTGTGTGGGCATTGCCAGGGCTTACACTGGTGTCTCCTCTTCGGAAAAATATATGTTTCCAGCTTTTTTGCTCTCCCTCATGGAATACGAGGCACCTCCGAGTCCTTGCTGTCAGTACTAGCTTGATATAAGTTGCCACGAGGCATACTTAGAACTCGATGGTAGAACATCCCTAGGCAGGTCACAGTGATGTCCTAAATCACCTGTGTCCGTTCCTCCGTTGAGTGCGGCAGGACTGTTGCCGCGCGCGCCACATGCATGCGAGGTACCCGTCGCACTAGTCGTTCCACTGACAAATGGTCAATGTTTCCAGTTCAATCATGCGACAAACTCGCATTACTCATCGGGAACACCTCCTTGGTGTAAATATGCTAGCTCGAATAGAGTAGTCAGCATTGCGGCGTCGGTGAAATGACACATTTATGAAGATTAATTGAAAGTTGAGGTCGAGAGTTGGCCGCAGCAGTTGAAGGGAGTTACCAACTCTAATACATATTACGTAAAGAATTCAAATGCCAGCGGAACGGAAGCCACGATCGAGGCTGTACCCTGACAAAAATCGACAGCATTATCTTAAGGTGGCAAAGAGGGAGCGGACTGGGTGAAGAGGTAGTCTGGTTAGAACTCAGTCAATGAGCTTATCTTTGTTCCAGAAGTCAATCTTGATATTTGCACTCTGCACATGATCACACTCAGTTCAACTCCGACATCTTGCCGACAACTTCAGATTGCCTGCCAGTCAAAAACTCTGACAATTGATTTTTCTTTGCTTGTCATTCAAACAGCGAATACTCCGACATGTTCAATGCTGGGATGAGGCCTAGCGTACTCGAGCTGTACATGTACTGCACGCGTATACCTCAAACAGAAGGAGCAGGTCGAAAACGAACTATATCTGTGGCCGCTGCAAACACTGACTCGGAGGCGGATGCACCCTGCATACAAGGTATGCAAGTTACTGCTTGTCATTTTACTCGACGCCTTTGCCCACATGGCTGGTCTGACAAAGGGAAGGGCTCTGAGTTTTTACTTGACTTGATGTCAGTAGTACAAGCTAGGCCGGCCTTGCGCCTACCGTCTACCTAAATCATGTGGGTTCCATGTGGAACTTAGATGTTATAATGAATAGCAAGCCAGCCAGCAGCTCATCGTTCGGGGATATCTACCCGCTAGCAACGCCCATGCCGCTACCAGCAATCCAGCATCGAGCATAGCAGCACCCCCGCTGCTTCTGCAGAAGTCCCCATATATGTAACCTGGCGAGAAGAAAAGGGTACCAATGAGCCCCGACAACCTCCTGAAGCCCAGTCGGATTCGACAATAGCGCGCAACTTCTGTAGTATCAAATGGTTGGTCAAACACAAGACGGTTGCCGAGGTCGTTGCATCCTTATGGCCCATGAGAAGGAATCCTGATATTCCTTCCGCTCGAAGCTTGTTGATGCCGTAAGTTTTGTTTGTCGTCGCGCTAAGCCTTGTGCTCATGTAAAGGCGAACATTTCCAGAATGTAACTCCCCTGTGACCTGCCTGGCAGTGGCAATAGTTTCTCCGCCTACCTTGTTATTGTTGCTTTCATCATCTCGCTGTCCCAACCTGGTCCCAACCGCTTAGGTATTATGCCACCTGTACTCGTGTTATTTGTCATACTACTGCCACGCTGTTCTGCCCCCGTTATTCAAATTCCATGTTTTGCAGGCTTCTGCATGGTTCTGTTAGTTTCCGCCGCATCAATCTGTATGCTACGGTTTATTCACGTTCTTAGCATGAGTACGCGGTCCCCGATATGTGGGTCTACTGAACGGCCTGCCACCTCAAGATTTGTGTGGCTCGCAGTTGGAACGTTGGCTTGCGGTGATATATGCTCTGGTGGGTGCACCGGCCTGGTTGACCGGTGGGGATAAATGGATCACCATGTGCGCTCCCACGACAAGTCTTCTGGAATCGCCCGTGGGTTTGGGCACTTGACTTCGACTGTGGCTGCATACTGCGCTACACCCCATGCACGCCATGACTGACATGAAAACCTCAGTGACCTCCGAGTCAGCCCAAGGCACGTTAACATCCAATTTAGAGCTCGATGAACAGGCTCCACCTTCATTCGGGCACGCTATGCACAAGTTATTCGAGTTTGACCCATCTTATGTGAACTTTAACCATGGTGAGTTCTACCAAGCGATATCAATGTCGTACATTGATTTATGACCGATGCATCGAAGGTTCGTATGGTTCATTACCCATGCCAGTCAGAGTTGCGTGCGATAAGCTCAGCGCTCGCATTGAAGCTAACCCAGACAAATTCTTGCGCATCGAGTGCGTTCACCACTGGATCGAGGCTCGTACTCGAGTGGCCAAGCTCATAGGGGCAAACACCGACGAGTGTGTTTTGGTGCCTAATACATTACATGGCATAAACACAATTCTCCGCAACTTCGAGTGGCATGAAGGGGATATCATCATTGAGAGTAGGTCAAGAATAATCACATGGAAGTTCTCCTACTTAGTATTATTCCTTCTCCCCATACAACAGCAACCACAACTTATAATGCCGTGTCCCGAGCGATTAGGCATCTCGGAGATATCCCGCCATATCCACAAGTATCCACACTCAATCTTCAGTTCCCTACCACACACGCGGATATACTGGAAAACTGGCGAGAACATATCCGCCGAGTGACTTCGGAAAAGAGCGAGACTCGCAAGGTTGTCGCATTAATAGACGCCATCGCGGCCAACCCCGGTGTACGTCTTCCTTGGAAAGAAATGGTAGCCATTTGCAGAGATGCAGGTGTTTGGTCAGTGGTGGATGCTGCGCATTCAATTGGCCAGGAATTGGATCTCAACTTGTCGGAGGCGAAGCCTGATTTTTGGGTATCGGTTAGTTTATCAATTCTGACTCGTGATATTGTGTTATTGACCGGTTGAGCTGAACAGACTTGTCACAAATGGCTCTTTGCAAAGAGAAGTTGCGCAATCCTTTATGTTCCAGAACGGTATGTTTCAACCTTCCAGAAGCATAATATCGATCGATATACAATGGGATGGGCTAGAAATCAACATGTTATCAAATCTTGTATACCTACTCCACGCAATTATTGCTCACCTCGAGACGAGGGTTACAAGGGCCCACAAAGTTTCGTGAATCTTTTTGAACGTTAGTTCTCTCGAATAAATCAATCTCGAGTGCCCATGTCTTATTGATTGCTAGGGAACGGGACCATAGATTATGTTCCATTCCTGAGCGTGAACGCAGGTTGGTGCGAAGTTGTCATCAGCACTACTGTTTTGACTTGCGACTAGCCTTGGACTTCAGGCAGTGGCTCGGCGGCGAGCACAAGATCAACGAATACACTCACAATCTCGCAATCGCAGGTGGAAAGCATCTGGCAAGTCTCCTAGAAACTAGCGTCATGGACCCTTACGGTGACTTGACTCTAAACATGGTGAGTTAATCCAGTTTTGTGTTCCTTTATTCACTTCATGTTTCCTTGGTCAGGTCAACGTGGAACTGCCCATTCCTGGCGACATCAAATATTCGAATGAAATCAACAAGCTGCTGATAAATACGTTGTTGGTCGAGTGGAATGTGTATGCTGTTCCTTACTATCACAATGGAAAATGGTGGACAAGGTGTAGCGTGCAGATATGGAACGAGGTGAGAAATCGAACTTATCTGTTCATAAAGACATCTTGACTCTTACGGATAAAAATCAGATTTCAGACTTCGAAGTTCTCGCCGATGCTTTCAAAGACGCGTGCCAGAGAGTAGTGGAGTTTGCAAAGTAATAGATACTTAAGTGCTCGATGTACGAAATATTTCGAGATTGAACGTGGTGCCAAGAAGATCTACATGCTGACTAAGCTGCGGTAAAGGCAGCGGAACGAAAACTGCATAGATTTTGACTTCAAGGGTGTACACCATGGCGAAAACCGAATTAATCGACTCCCATGTTTCCGTGAAACAGTGCACACGAGCCGTACATGCACTGCATGCATATGCCTCAAAAAAACAAAAGGAACAGGAGGAAACCGAACTTTTACCATCCAGCGAGCAATATGTGTGGCTACAAATCACAGTGAAGCGGATGCACCCTGAACACAAGATCAAGCCGTTCAAAATGTACGTTCTGCTACTCTTCAATGGATGTACGATTGTGACATTTCCAAGCCCACTCAAGCATCCTCTCATCGATCCACGAGTTACGCCTGTCTGTCTCATCACCAAAGACCCTCAACGAGAGTACAAAGACCTTCTCGAGTCTCATAAAATCAAATTTATATCAAGGGTTGTCGGAATCACAAAACTCAAGGGCAAATTCAAGTCCTACGAAGCTAGGCGAATGCTGTTAAAAGAAAATGGAATGTTCCTGGCAGACGAGCGTGTAATTCCTTTACTGCCGGGCTTGTTGGGAAAGAAGTGGTTTGATGCAAAAAAGTAAGATTGCTCGAGACTACTTCTATCGCAAGCATATCTGAATTCATCTTGCAGACAGCCAATCCCGGTTTGCTTGACACGCAAAGACCTCAAGGGTGAATTAGAACGAGCCATCGAGTCGAGCTACATGCATCAGAATAGAGGAACGTGCACGTGCGTCTGTTTTCATCTACCTCCTGAATGCGAGCCTGATGCAATGATGGTTGTCAGGTCTGTTAAGATCGGACTACTGTCACACACGCCAGAAAAAATCCTCGACAACATGAAAATATCTTTTCCCGCCATCGTGAACAATATAAAGGGTAACTGGGATAACATTCAAAGTCTTCACATCAAGACGAATTCAAGTATCAGCTTACCGATATGGACATGCGAACTTGGAGATGCGACCGGTGGACGGTGGGATGGTATGGTGCAATCCAAGGATGCATCTGAGGAGAGTAAGTTGGATGAAGACTCTGATTCCAACGACATAGACATGGATTCGGAAGAACATGTGCCGGAAGTGCCAGTTAGCAAGGGCAAGAGCAAAAGTACGAAGAAACCCCTGAACGAGGTTGTTGTGAAGTCGATTACGCCGAAGGAGGTGAAACAAAAACGGAGCACTGAAGGAGCAGAGAAGAAGAAAGCGAAGATTGCAAAAGGTGGCCCAGTAAAGAGTGCGAAGAGTGCCCTCATTGGCAAGAAGCCAGGTCGACCGTGATTCTGCTGGGTGGCGGCGTAGTATGTCATCGAGCAGATATGTATCACTGGTGTTGTTTGCGAGCTTGTTCAGATACCTCAGTATCCCTTTTCCCCAGGCATATAATGCCAGCTGACAAAATGCCATTGTTTGCATTTCCCTCGTCATTCATCTGTTGCTCAGCGCTCAGCTGTAAGTATGTACAAACCGGAGTGCCATTGGGTGAACACTACCTTCCTTTTTGGTCATACTCGGAACCACTCGTCACTGTCATATTGCCTTTCCTCACACCTAGTACGATGGCTACTAGGCAGTCCACAAAACTACGTATACCGCATTCTCAAGATGATTGCGAGCTGGTTGGGATTTTGGAACAACTGGCACCTGAAGAATCCACGCAGGGCAGAAAGATTGCCCTGGTATGATACTGATCATCATTCCGGTCTTTGCAAAATTACTTGACTCATATATGTTCCAGATTCTTCACGGGACTATGGGGTACGTTCCTACTATTTCTGCACCTTCTCTCTTCTAATCTCACTCCAGTCATAAAGACTACCTATTCCAAAAACGTCTTGCGCTACGTTTCCCGATAGACTCATTCAGATTTGATTTTCGGTCTGTCAACCCTTCTTCTTGGCGTCAATCCCTATTCATATAGAACAGCGGCAATCATGAAAGTGGGGGCCAACGGACACAAAGTGGAATTGCGAGAGACGTCGAGGACCTCGTGACGGTCGTTTCTTACCTCCGTAATACGTACGGATACGAGATTGATGCGGTCGTGGGCCATTCTCGTGGTTCTGTGGTTGGGATGCATTGGCTATGCACGTCGGAAGAGGGTCAACGTGTTCGTGCTATGGTCAATGCGTCGGGTCGTTACCGAATGGACGTGAGAGAAATAATCTCATGCCTGCCGCAAAATAACTGAAACAGCTGTGACTAGGGAGTTTACGGTATGCTCAAGAGTTTCAAAATCCAGACGGTCGGTCATCTTATCCTAATTTCTAGACCTCTACAAAGAGCAGTGGGACTTCAAAGGTCACTACGAGCGGACCGTGACAGTCGCTCGACAAACAGTTGTGGAAAGAGTCTATCCAGAAGATCTAGAGCAGTTCTCTAAGTGGAATACCGCAATCGTTTGGGACAAATTCCCTGCTCAAATCGATGTTCTGACAATGCATGGTCTCCTCGATAAGACAGTTCCTTCGTGAGTGTTTGCGAACTGATAAGGGAAAAAATCTCATTGATCAGATATGATGCGGTTATTTACTCTCGAGCACTTGGTGCTAGAACGCCTGGCACCCACAACCTCCATTTGGTAGAGAAGGCCGATCACAATTTTACAAAGGTGAATCTCGATTTTCTTATCGTCGTAGCTACTTCTAACAATATACTTAGCGCCAAGACGAGGTTGTAGACTGCATTCTGGAGTGGTGGGATGCTCTTAATCAAGGACGCTTGAAAACAGGCATATTTATGACAGGCGTGCGTGGCAAACTGTGACCGCGAGTGCCTAGCCCTTGCAAACACTGGTTGAATACACGTTATTTCCCCTGGACATCAAGGAGTGGCAATGAACCCACGACCCCGAGCTGGCCGTGCCATGCTTCGGACCATCTTGCGAAATTCGGCTGTGCCACAGAATTTCTAAGCGCCTTAGGCTATGTTCGACCGCGTTCTCGCTCAGCTCTTGATCATGACACAGAAAAACCAAAAAAACATTGTCAACTGTGTCGTTTCATATACTCGTTCAGGATAATTCCCTGAGGAGTAAGTTGAAACACGATAGAAATTTGAAACAACCACGATAGCGCATCATGCATTATCAATCATCGATCATCCAGGATACCTGTCTCCACGATCAGCACTGCATGTTGGTTCGATGCGCAGTACAAACACTTTAGCCAAACTTGATTGGACGTATTTGGATCCCTGGTAAAGCACAGCCTGAGGTTGTTGATCGGCATTCATTCTGTCATGGTACTATGTATGCACTGCAAAGGCCGGCATCAGGGAATCGGTGAGCGTCCCCAAACATTTACGTGGTTTTTCAACGTTATGCACAAACACGTATGACGAAGACCTTGTCTATATCTCATTACATATGACACACATGACGATTGACCGGCGGCCACTAAACAGACTATGGGAGTCATCATCACAGCCGGGCGTGATGACAGGCCGAGCATCCTCGTCTTTGATGCTACCATATACGTGTATCAAGACAAGTTCCGAGATTCTGGCGCCAAGCCATTATAATAAACATGCAGCACTGGTGCTTTCGATAATCCATGAGCGCCACCGCATTGCAATGTCCCGCTGAGTACAATCGAATTAACTCCAGCAATTACTAATTACTAGCTACTGTAACCAAATAGCAAGCCAAATGCCAAATACATAGTAAGATCTGTGGTGAATCAAAGCATGGTCCGTATGATACAACTTAGATTTGGCCAGGATTGAAATTTGAATGATCTTCCTCCTCCTTCCTTCCCTGCAAATCTTCTTTTGCACATATTAAATTGTGATTATGCGGCAATACATCCCAGCGCACGCGGTGGGGAATGTGAGGGTCGTGGTGATGAAATTATGATGGTGGTGTATGATTATGGGGTTGTCGAAGAATGGGAGCGTGCTCGGAGAGCGAACGTTAAACGCCATGTGGCGTGAGGTAACGTCGAGCGTTTAGGCAAAAATGCCCTGGGCCACAGCACCGTCAGAAGAACACTGGTACGACTGTGCTAGCACCAGCACGAATGGTGGTGCGCTGGGACGAGTATTGTGAAGACTGCGAGTGTGATTGACCACACGAGTCCGAATGGCTGGAAGGTGACTGCGAGCTGGGATTGCTCGAGTAGGACTTGGATGAAGCGTAAGCAGCTTGTGAAGTGTTCGAGGTGTTATATTGGCTGCTCATGATGGGAGATGTTTATTTGACTCGGAGGAGTTCTGGTACGCTGCTGGAGTGGTGGTAGGAGTGCTTTATGGATGACTGAGTGGCATTGGGGCAGGCTCTTTATAGGTAGCAGGTTCATCGCCTTTTGCTGTATTGAATTAAGAAAGATTTCGAGATCTGGATTGCCGGGACCGACACCGCGACAAGCCCGATCGAGAATAAAGGAAGGGGGTGCTCTCACGGATACGCAATAGCTCGTGAAGGCACATCAACCTTGCTCGTGAGTTTATTAATATTGGCGCTCATTTCAGGGTAGCTGTTTACCAATGGAGGAAACCCGCAACGAGTAGGTAGCGTGGTGGGTAACACAGGCTGCCGCTCGTTCCTGCCATAGATCCGTTGTGTACGTAGACGGCGTTTGCCGCCCAGCTCTCTCACGCTTCTTACCTCCGATGCTGTACAGATCTAGTCCCACCCATCTTGGAGAATGAGTCTTAAAGACTCATCGTTAGAACCCTTCTCTTTTTCCACTACTTTTCGGATTCACATTTCATTTGTTTTCCCCGCAGCATTCGGCACGTGTTGTGGTATACTTATGATTGCCGATTTGTTTCAAGGGCATTCGTCATTTCTAGCTAGTACTGTGGGTCCGAACTTCCGATACATCCAGTGTCAAGTTTGATACTCGTGACTAACGTACGTTCCCCTTCATGATCAAGGCACGTACTTGCTAGCACTCTTCTGTGAGACAAACACAATTGTCTGGCCAATTCTGTGCCTGACACTTACCTGGACTAGTACTGGAGTGGCATCATACAGTGAGTCATGAAAGTTAGGATGTCCACTGAATATACCCTTCTTTGAGACTCGCTCAAATCCTAAACCTCCTTGGCAGCGTAACACAACTCGATACCGAGGTCCCGAGGAATCCATGTCGAGTCTGACAATAACAGTGAAAAGGCAGCGAACATCGTTACATGTAAGCGCACATACTAGCACATACTAGATCTGACCCTTGAAAATTGAACGATTGGATTCCGGAGAGCCCCGCTGTTCCTATGATCGGCTTGATTTGGGGCTCGTTGTATATCAATCACTCTTGCACTATTTCTAGTAAGCGGACGTTGACATCCGATGACTCCTCCAAACTTTACAGTACATTCACGTCCAATGAATGAAAATGACTAACAGCAACCATTGATTCCGTCTCGCACTGCCTGTTTTGATGCCATGGAAAAATTTATGCATAGATATAAACGGCCAGATCAAGCGAAGAGCTGGCAAATTCTTGGAAGTTGGAACCCGATATCGGCTAGTACACTGTTCGGGTTTCTATCGAACTTCAACGATGATCTTCCCGCTAACAATGAAGTCTCGGCCACCGCTAGATCTTCCGACGGAAACTGAGTGCTCACCTATTCTTATTGTCGGCCATCTCATGATGAGCACTTTGGATCTCTGTCCAAGGATACACCTGTGGAATTGTATGTCCGTTTCCGACGGCATCAGAAGAGCAGAAGAATATACTCACTTTGTGAATGTAAGTCCGTATCGGGCCACCTCCGTTGACGCCAGTTACCTTATCGATTATATCACGGAAACTCGAGCTAATAAGATGAGTTAATCTGGAAGTGAATCGCATCAGACAATATCATGACAGAACCTTGTGATGAGCTCGGTCTGGTACTGTAGACTACGGGAGCGTAGCGTGGAGCCTTGAATGCGGAGACGCTTGTAAAGGATCGGGCCAAGGTTGACTGTGGAGACTTCGTTCCCTAACCAACCACTTAGTCAAGAGTGTTTGGACTTCGAGACACAACATATGCCTACCACTCATAGTAGCCAATATCGTCATCCTACCATCAATAGCGAGGGATTCCACGTTCTTGGCCCAATGACTTTGTCCAACGAAATCTATAACGACATCGACGCCTTTGCCGTTGGTCGTTTTCTTGACCTCCGCGGCAAAGTCTTCAGTTCTGTAATTGACGGTATGTGTCGCCCCGTTAGGAATGGAGCGCAGCCAATTAAGTTTTTCTGCAGTAGACGCCGTTGCAGTAACGGTTGCCCTGTCAACGGCGTGATGCGTATTCAGCAAGAACGTGTAGAACCGCAAAGAAGAAAAGCATCAAAGGCAGTGAGGACCGGGAAACTGAAGACCGGTAAGGAACACTCACGCTCCCAATTCCCTTGCTATTTGAATTGCCGCAATGCCTACACCAGAAGCGCCTGCGTGAACGAGTACATGATCGCCCTTCTTGACTTCCCCGTACTTCACAAGAGCTTGATAAGCTAAGAATGATCCCAAAGCAGTCAGAACCGAAGACGACCGCTTGGCTGATCTGCCGTACTCACCTGTGATATAGTTTTCTGGTATGCTAGCTGCCTCCACCCAAGATAAGTGACCGGGCTTCTTCAATAAGAGTCCTTCGTCACAGTTTATGAACTCCGCATAAGCTCCCTGAGATAGCCGTGACAGTTTTAGTCAGTGAAGAACATACACTTTGACTGGGGCAATCGACTAACGCCGCCCGCGAGACCAAATACTTCATCCCCAACAGCCCATCTTGTTACTCCTTCGCCGAGTTCAGTCACACGTCCAGAGAACTCCACACCGAGAATGGAGGAAGCGCCAGGGGGAATAGGGTAGCCACCCTGACGCTGGTAATGGTCCATGCGATTAAGGCCGAATGCGACAATCTACCATGAACATTCCAGGCCAGACTAGATCAATTTACGTAGATTCATAGGATGAAGAAAGGCACAAACCTTTACCAAAACCTCTCCCTTCGTTGGGACCGGCTTATCTGTCTCCCCAATGTAGAGGTTTTCGATGGGACCGTGCCCGTCTTTGATTAAAATGGCGTGCATTTTGGACATCAGAGTAGCGGTGGACGTCATGGTTTGAACGATTGTTGTTCTGTGTCTGTGTGATTTAGTTCTCGTGCAACGTGAATGTCCCTGTAAACTGCGTAGATGGCCCGGACTTCCAAATTTCAAATTGGAATAACTAATTATAGGAGGTCTTGTATTCCACGAATATTCAGCGACTACCCAGCTGTCTCTGGACAGAATACACCGCAGACATCGCATGGAAGTCTGACATCAGAAGTTGTTCAAAAGTCACCGTTCCCGAAGCAACGATATTTAGTCGGCGGTCCGGGTGTGATCGAAAATGAACTCAAACTATGCGTGAAATCGAAAGAGTCTGATTTGAAACCGGATTGCAGTCACCGTCCTTCCCTGTTCTCAAATTCTTCCCGACTATGTAGGACCATCAGCTGAACTGTCCTATAAATGCTCACTACTGGGGCATGATGATGCGATACACAGGGAAACAAGAATAGCAATCAGTAAGGCAACGACAAGGCCTAGATCATCAGATTCAAAGTGTAGAAGAAGATACTCATCCGATAGCTGCAGAAGGTTCACTGTTCTGCCGACATTCATTGACGATAAATTCTCATGTCAACATGTGCCCACCACACGATGCCTGAGTATGCGGAAATGAATGGTTATCTCTTGGCACGATCAACTTCATTAAGCACTGTCCTCGACCCCAGCTCCAATGTCATTCGTAACCGAGAGAGTGGTATCCTCCGCGCCAGAGTAGGACACCGGAAGATAATAAAACTGGTGGGATAAGTCAGCACTGCGAATGTATCGCGTATGATTCAAGCTATCGCTGCCTCATGCATCACCGGGTTAATGACAATAACAGGTAAATTCAAATTCCTGACCTTGAGTTTTGAGTTTGAGGTTCACGAGTAAAGCACCGGCGAAGAAGTCAGCGCAAGGTATCATCCATGTATGTCTTAATGTTGATTGTAGATTGCTTGTGCAATTCCCTAAACCATCTTTTCGTTTAGCATTAAGAGTTTCATCGAACCAAAGTGGGAGAACAAAATAATACCGTCCCAAAACACCGTCCAATTGTCGCCGTGTTGGATAAGTAACAGATGCTGCAAAGCCACTAGAACCTAGTAGTAGCCACGAAGTAAAGCAGTAGTGCTTGCAAGTTGCCAGTAAACGGTTAAAACGGTTCAAGTCCCCATGAATATTGATCGGAAGTCGGGGAGAACCGGAAACAGCTGAGTAAGCGCAGCGGCTGGCCAAACACGCATCATCATTGATATTGACGACCAGCGTCGAACTCACACACAGCTCACTATTTCACTCGTGCTCGACGTTTCAAGTAGTCTGGAGGCGCAAAGGCCATTTATTGCAATGGCTCAGTCTTACTTTTCCGCCCCAGCTCGGTCATCTTCATCGCTGGCGAAGGAGCCTTTGCTTTCAAATCATGGTGGTGAGAAGCATTTGAAGGTGGAGGATGTTCAAGAAGCCTACATCGAACAAAAGGATCGGTTTGTTTGGAACCTTTCCATACTTTTTTATGTTTTTCTGATGCGTCAGGCAGTCTGATTCAGGCCCTTGATTCCTCCAAGTCTATTCTTGGGGAACTGCGTCGGTTCAACAAGGAGGAGTGGGTGGTAAGGTACCCCACTTTACACGAGCAACCCTCCGCAGAGCCTTCATCGTCATCAAGGACAAAGCCCCGTCGCTCTCTTCGCCGTTCGCTTTCGTTCGCAGATGATCCAAACAACCAAACAGAAGTCCTTTATACTCCTGTGCGGGAGGGCTTGACCCGAGCTGTCACACTTGCATCAATTTCCGATGCCCCGGAAGGTACTGATGTCAAGCCTGAGGATGAAGGCACGAGTCAGGGTCAACGGGACACATGCGAGGCGGAGAAGTTGATACTGTCGTCCCAGAATGGAGATTTTAATATCCTTCGTCTGGACCTCAAGCTCGGCCCCCATGGCTCGACCACATCCCCTGCCGCTCTCGTATCACACCTCGAAAAAGGTTCTATTGCCAGTTTATTGGACGAACGTATCGGTGCTTCTGTCAATCATATGGATAAGCTCCGCCTTCGTGTGGAGGACACTTCATCGAAGGTTCTTGTCACCGGGGACCTTAATTCTGGAAAATCCACTTTTGTCAACGCCCTTCTTAGGCGGGAGGTGATGCCGATTGACCAGCAGCCCTGCACAACCGCCTTTTGCGAAGTGCACGATGCTGCTGAGAATAATGGCAAGGAGGAAGTTCATATCATCAAGGAGGGTGTGGTGTATAACATCTCGGATGAGTCGACCTTCACTCGCGCTTCGCTTGCAGACTTGGAGACGATTGTCTCAGATAATGAGGGTGTTCAGCCAGTCTTGAAAATATACCTTTCTGACAGCCGGGCACCGTCGGAATCATTGCTCAATAATGGGGTTGTTGATATATCCCTAATTGATGCACCCGGTCTCAACCGCGATAGTTTGAAGACAACGGCTCTCTTCACTCGTCAGGAGGAGATTGACGTCATTGTCTTTGTCGTTTCCGCCGAAAACCACTTCACCTTGTCCTCCAAGGAATTCTTATGGAACGCTAGCAACGAGAAGGCATACCTTTTCATTGTCGTGAACAAGTTCGAGCACATCAAAAATAAGGAGAAATGCAAGAGGTTGGTACTAGAACAAATCAAGCAGCTGAGCCCTGGGACGTACGAGGACGCTGAAGACCTTGTCCACTTCGTTGATTCTGCCGCTGCTCTCCGACCGTACACAGCCAATCCAGCATTCGACGACCTGGAATCCTCGCTTCGTTCGTTCGTTCTCGTCAAACGCTCCAAATCGAAGCTCCAGCCTGTCGCAACTTACCTCTCCAACCTCCTATCCGATGTTGATCTTTTGGTTGGCGCAAATGCCATCGTTGCCCAATCTGATCTTGACCGCGCTCAAGATGATTTGACGCGTGTCAAGCCAGTTCTTGAGAAGATGAAGGGCAGCCAAGAATTATTGGAGGAAAATCTGGAGTCTGTGGAGGAATTAGGGGCAGAGAAGACGAGTGCCAGAACAAAAGCCATCCTTTCCTCTGCTATCGAGCGCGTCGGACAAGGCCTGCCTGGCGTTAATCATGCTACTATTTCCCTGCCAGCTTTCCCTGGATTCCTTCGCATTTGGGATTATGCCAGAGACGTAAAGAAGGCTTTGTTGGCGAGTTTGGATGCAGCTGTGAAGTTAGCTGAGGATGAAGCGCGCGCCACTACTTCTGCAGGGGTGAAGAAGATCGGCGAGCTTGGCGACGCCAATCTTCCTGAAGGAGTCGGGAAGTCCCGAAGGGTATTCATGCCAGAGGCCATGTTCTCGTTGCGCCCAGGCAAGAAGGGACTCCGCCGCCGTTCCTCTGCAACGGCCACCGCTGTCGTGGCTGGAGGGGTCCACAATCTTGGCATTGGTCTCTCCCAGCGCCCGGACATGCTAGACACGTCTGCCCTCGATATCTTTGACTTCCACCGACTCTGGCTTCAGTTTGCTGATGACAAGAAAGAAGCAGAGGATGAGACCAGCCCTACTACTGCGCTCAGTGTCGTCTCCGTTGGCGTCGGTGCCCTAACAATGGTTGGTGGTCAGACGTTTGGTGCCCGAGGCATTATCGATGGTATCGTACGCATTTCTGAGTTGTTTGGAAACGAAACTGCAAGGAAATGGGCGGCTCCTCTTTTGGGCGCTTTCGTTATCGGTGCAACTGCCTACTTCGTTCTTGAACTACCCAACACTATTCCACGCACCATCGGTCGCCGCATCCGTACATCCCTGGTTGCCGTTGACGAGAACACAACCGAGAATGAACTCTTCGTTAATGCCCATGCTGGCCGTGTCAGCAGGGAGACGCGGAAGGTTTTGCGCCTGGCATCTTGGGACCTCAGGGAGCGCTTCAGAGCTGCCATGGAAGAGAGAGGCAAAGAAGTTAAGAACGCAGAGGAGATGGAGAGGAAGGCCAGGAGAGCACTCGAGTACTTCCTGGAGGTGGAGACAAAGACGGGTTTGATCAGAAATGATGCTGGCTTGATCAGTGTGTTGTAAGATTATCTCGCTTGTTTATTTTCTTATGCTCTTACCACCTTACCATCTTCGTTCGTCCTTATGCGCACCCTGACGTCTTTGTCGTTGCCGCTCACTGTCGTTGATTGAATTTTTTATTATTTTGTTTTGTCTTTCATGCATATGGTTTTAACGTGGAATAGCAACGGAATCTCCTCACAATAGGTGATGGGAATGTCACTATATGTTTTAGCACGGATGAAAGAGATCTATAGTACTTGCCTACCCTAACTGCGACTGCTAGGTCGACTTGTGCGGTGAATTTGCAGAGCTACGTCTTCAATATAATAGAATAGACTACATTCGATATTGATCTACAACCCCTCGTCATACAACTTCCGGGATAATGCAACATAAAATCTCTCCAAATCCAACTTGGAGGCCAGTTCGTGCTTGTCAGACTTCTTGACCTTATGCTTCTCTGAAGTGTCTCCAGGGCGAGACGACTTGCTCGTCGATGGGACCTGATCGATGATCCAATCGAACACGGCCGAGAGCTTATCCGTCGACGCTTTCACAACGGGGTCACTTTCTCCCTCCTTGCGCATCTCTTCCCTAGTCCCTCGGGAGACTCTCGGATTCGATGACGACATCGAAGATCCACCAGCACCAGCAAGCTCATACCCATTCTCTTGCTTCTTCCACGCCCGAATAAACTTCGACCAGTCGCCGAACGCCCACCCATCTGCACCGACGCGACCCGCTAAGCTCGTCAAGGGCACAGACGGCAAGTCGACATTGAATTCCAACCCCCGGGCACCTCTGATCTCCCAGTGATCGCAGCCCTCCATTATCCCGAGAAATTCACCCCACCTTGCGCTCTGCACGGTTACGAGGCCGTCGTTTCCCCACTGGTCGTCATGCTCCCATGTCAGAGGTGGACTTATAGCCCCTGAGTTGGCGTGTTGCCGCTTGAGACGCTCCTTTGCATCTTGTTCCAACTCATCGAGCACCATCTTTGGGAGACAAAGCGGGTGCCAAATGCTCATGTCGGCGATACGTCCGGTGACACTGAAATACTTGACACGTGGATCATCAGGGGTGGCTGGATTGAACACGTTGTTGAGGTAGGAAGATGTCAAGTTGGCATATGCAGGCGAGTCCAGGATGGACAACAAGAGCGTCGTGAAAGAAGATGGCAGAGAAGCCAGTGACAAGGAGAATGAAGTCTCGCGCTTCTCAGTGCTCGTCCCCTTTTCCGACATAGACTGCTCCTTAATCTCGGTCGTTTTCTTGAATATTTCTTCCTGAGGTCGTCTTCCGAGGCCGATATTTGCCTTGGCGTCAAGTGAAGTGAATGCACTGCAAAGTAAGAGTAAAACGTTGGAACTTACCGCACACCAGTCCATGAAGGGACTTCCTCTATGGGGAGTACTGATTGTTGTCAGGGATAATGGGATATATTCACTTGGCTGCACGTGTGTAATGAGATGGCGACAATCGAGACCTCCCATGGAATGAGCCATGAGATTGACGCCTCGTCCTCTAGCCTTCTCTTGGAGTAACCGATCAAGGTTTTCTGCCCTCGACGCTATGGAACCCGTTCTAAGTATATATACAAAATCAGAAATGGTCTGATACCAAGCTTGATGACCGTACCCGGGTACCGCTGTAACAATAACGTCTGCTCCAACCTTCTTCTTGAGAATGTTGAGGACATTGGCCCAGTAGTGCATTCGGAGACTGGGAAATGCGGCAGGACCTCGCACATCGAATCCGTATAGCCCTATGGATCAATATGTGTGGTTCACTCTAATTGGACCAATTAAGATGAACTAACCGTGGCAGAGGACAATCGGAAACCTAGGGGCTCTGATTGGGTCATACAGTGTTGGATTTCGCAGTAAGCGATGAATGGTATCAGTGGAATCACCCTCGGATGGTTCTTGAGGCGGTAATTTCCCCTGCGGCAAGTTGGAATTGATAGAAGATGTGTCAAGAGCGGTGGTATGAGACTCAGATGTCACTTTCGAATCAGGAGGGGATAATTTTAGAGGCGATGACTTAGTATCGTCCTTAAAGAAGCATCGGCCTGTTTACGGACGACTGTATGAGTCTGGTGAACGCTGGTGAACGCCAGACGTAGTAACTTGCCTTTCGAAGTCCAATGAGGGAGTGTTGGAGTCAGGCGTTTGGTTGGTTGCTCTAAACCACTATCCACAAGCAACCCTATACGAAACCAGTCCCACTTATTCGGAGACAATGGGTTCCACCAAATATCATTGGAAGTGGTGTGGACTTCGGGTGTGTGACTGGGGGTATCTTCGGCTCTGACTCTCGATATGAGGTACTGGTTAGACAATGAAAAGGTAGCCATGACATTGATGAGACGTCGAAATAAAGCCACGACTTGAACTGGGAAGTGGACGTTGTTCATGATTTCGTTGAAGAAACATGCATGAAAGTGAGAATCAATGAGTTGCTCGATTAGGGTTGCATGATCCTATTATTCAGATTTACTTTTTCGAGTCACAGCTGAAAAGCGCCGACCTCCTACCTTGACCACACAAAATGTCAGACGAAGAAACTCTGCAAAAACATCACGAAGAATCAGACTCTGAAGAAGAGGAGGAACAGCTGGAGGATGTCCCGAAGATTGACATAGATATTACGAAGCTGACGCCACTTTCGCCTGAAGTAATATCGAAACAGGTGCGCAACAAGCTTTCTTTTATCTGAAGCAATTCATTGACCACGATCCTTCTAGGCTACAATTAACTTGGGTGCGCAGACTTCTGCGAGTACATATAATCTAGCCATTGAGTTATCTCTACAGGAACGATCGGTCATGTCGCACACGGAAAATCGACGGTGGTGAAGGCCATATCAGGCGTCATGACTGTACGATTCAAAAACGAGCTGGTTCGTAACATTACGATCAAGCTGGGTTATGCAAACGCAAAAGTATGTTCCTTCTGATTCGCATCTGTTCCATCTTTAATCTTGAGAACTACCATCATAGATCTACAAATGCGAGAACGAAGCATGTCCTCGCCCAGGCTGCTATCGATCGTATCGCTCGGACAAGGAAGACAATCCTCCCTGTGAACGGCCAGGATGCGGTCACAGGATGAAACTCATTCGCCATGTTTCCTTCGTGGACTGTCCTGGTCACGACATTCTGATGGCTACCATGCTTAACGGTGCCGCAGTCATGGACGCTGCTCTTCTTCTGATCGCAGGAAACGAAACATGTCCTCAGCCGCAGACATCGGAGCACTTGGCCGCAGTTGAGATCATGAAGCTGGAAAATATCATTATCTTGCAGAACAAGGTCGACTTGATCAAGGAAGCCCAGGCTCTCGAACACCAAAAATCAATCGCTGCATTCGTCAAGGGTGCGTCTCAGGTAGCATGGACCATTCAATATTGTACTAATTCTCTTGACAGGTACGGTGGCCGAGTCGTCACCTATCGTTCCTATATCTGCGCAACTGAAATACAACATCGACGCTGTGAACGAATACATTGTGAAGCGCATACCTATCCCAGTCCGGGACTTTACTTCCGATCCCCGTCTCATCGTCATCCGTTCCTTCGACGTCAACAAGCCTGGTGCCGAGGTCGATGAGCTTAAAGGCGGCGTCGCCGGTGGTTCTATCCTCACAGGCGTCCTACGACTGGGACAAGAAGTCGAGATTCGTCCGGGAATTGTGACGAAAGACACTCAGGGCCGGAACCGCTGCAAGCCGATTTTCAGCAGGATTGTCTCTCTGCACGCCGAGAACAATCACTTGCAGTTTGCAGTTCCAGGAGGTCTGATCGGTGTTGGGACCAAGATTGATCCTACGCTGTGCAGAGCGGATCGTCTCGTTGGTCAGGTGCTGGGAGCGGTCGGGAAGCTCCCAAAGGTCTATACCGGTGAGCATCTCCTCGTTTTTGATATACTGTCACGTTCTAAAGAGTATCCAGAACTTGAAATCAGTTTGTTCCTTCTTCGCCGTTTGCTGGGAGTTCGCACAGAAGACAAGAAACAAACAAAAGTCTCGAAACTTGCCAAGAACGAGCTGTTACTGATCAACATCGGGTCAACGTCTACTGGTGGACGGGTGTTGAGTGTAAAAGGGGATCTCGCGAAGATCCAGTTGACTTCGCCCGCATGTACGGAGGTTGGAGAGAAGGTCGCGCTTTCGAGACGTATCGAGAAGCATTGGCGGCTTGTAGGCAAGTGTTTCTGCGAACTCGGCGAACTCAGTAACTGACTTCCCATCAGGTTGGGGAAGTGTACAACGCGGGACGGTGTTAGAGTTGGACTGATTCGCGTCCCATATTATTGCACTTGATGTGACAGGAGCCAATCTACACATGTATTATTTCTGCAGCACGCAAATGCAAGTGTTGTTCATTTCAGTAGTACATATGTTTATTGGGATTATTCGCTTTCCTGATCAATGGAGGTTTGTTGGCAACGACAAATGATAGAAGCAACCGTGGTACGTAAAGTGTGCGATAATTTTGCATTGTATGTACTGGAAGGATGGGATGGAATAGATCTTCATGGAGCGCAAGAAAAAGGGCGGGATATGCTATTAATGAGTATAGGTATACTTGGGAGATGCACAACAAAAAAACAGCCAGAAACGAGTCCAGCGTCCAGGATTTTTTATCGTTGCATCGAGATCGGGGTGCGAAGTTGTGTTAGCGCCGGGGGGTGCGGTGGAAGTGGAGGCAGCAGCCTGCGCTTGCGAAGATTGGGCTTGAGTCGAACCATTTGAGTGTTGTGTGGTGTTGCTATTGGGAGGGAATGCGGTGCTTGCGGCAGGGTTCCCGGGTTTCAATGGAATAATTTTCATCCGTCTTTCTCTTGCTGATGCGTTCCTCTATAGCGCGATATGAGATCGTGTGAATACTCAACAAAGACGAAAATAACATACACGTTTTCCCTTGGCATACGGAACATCGACGGCTGCTGAGGGACGCTCGCGGAGCTCGATATCTTCACCGCCTTGTCTTGCAGAGAGTCGATTTCGAACCCAGTGGAAAGGGCGGGGTCGGGACGACATATCTTGGGCATCGGAATGTGTGGGGCGGAATAAAGAGGACAACTGACTACCAAGGGTGCTTACATGCGATCCCCACGATTGAGGGTGTAGGCGAGGTCGTGCTGAAACCTAAGACCATTGAGGTCAGGAAAAAAAGCACTGGATTAAACATTAACGACGTACGTGAGCTCGATCTGGTAAGTCGTCGAAAAACCCTTGGTGCATCCGGCGCTGGGGGACAATGATTGGCTGACGGACTGTAGCATCAGCCTACACATGTGTTTGAATGATTAGTGATATCTGATTATAAAAGTATCACGTACAGCGAGGATCGACTTGTCCAACAGGAGTTCTTCGAGACCAGCTTCTTTTACAATCGCAGAAACGTCCCAAGTGTACGCGTTTTTGTCATCGCAGCCAGTGGCCAGTAGCTTTCCATCTGCCGAAAATGACACAGAGCGCGGGAGAGCTGGATGCTGGAGGGGCGAACTGATGGGCTGGTTGTCGTCGAGGTTCCACAATTGCGCTGTTTCGTCCCACTCGGATGCGCTTGCGAGAATGCGGCCATTGGGAGATATTGCAAAGGAAAAGACACCGAGAGTGCGCTCTTCCAACAGTACTAGTGCGATCTGCTTCCAAGTTGAAGTATTCCATGTCCTAATCGAGCAATCGTATGACCCGGATATAAGCGTTTTTCCATCCGGGGTCCAAGCCAGGCACCACACCCAATCTGTGTGTCCCTCAAGAGTAGCAACAAGTTCGCCTGTCTTGGCATTCCAGATTTTGACCGCGGACTTGTTATCTCCAGTGTCATCCCAAGGGCGTTCGGATCCGGCAGTCGCAAACAAGGTCATGTCTAGGGAGTAGACCACTGCGAACAAACAGTACCCTGCCTTGATTGGTGTGAGGATCGTCTGTCCAGTTTCTACATCCCATTGCCTTGCAGTCCCATCTCCGGATCCACTCAAGACTCGCTGACCATCTTGACTCCAACAGACAGACCTCACTCTGTCTGTATGCCCCATCCATCTCCCAGTTGCTTTGCCCGTGTCCATGTCCCACAACCTCACTCCACCATCATCACTCCCGCTGACCACCTTCTTCCCGTCCGGAGACAACGCTATAGTCCACACTATAGTTTCTCCGTCCCGCCAGTCGTCTCCTATCTGTTTGCCACTCTTCAAGCCCAGGGAAAACTGGACATGGCCAAAACGGTTGAGATCAAGCGGAATATGACGAATTTAGAAGCACCATATTTCACTATAGGAGACTCGCTGTGGAGACAAATAGAATATTTCGCATCTGTTGCAATCTTCTCGAATGTTGTAGGATATGTTAAGAATATTGATATCATATTTCAGCATATTTCAATCGAGTTCCACTGGTACGACAAAATCGGTTGTATTCGGGTGAAATATGCTATAATCTACTAATACAAATGCTTCGACCTACGACCAGAAAACACGATATAGGATGATGGTGATAGAACTAGCACGACAGTGTAAAGCAGGCAACCTCGACGACAGCAAAAGAACAGGAGCGACGTGGACAGGCGAGGAGGGAGACAATCGGGAGGAAACCGGCAGGCAATAGCAAAAGAACAGGAGCGATGTGGAGTGAGACAGGCGAGCACAGGTAATTTGGAAGCGACCAGCAGGCGATGGCAGGAATGATGTAGACAGTAGAGGAGTTAGACGAGCGAGCAGGCGCTGTTCTTCGTCCAGCGCCCTGCTTTTTCCTAAGAAGTCTCAGCGACTTGATAATATGAGTAGCAAGGCTGTACTTACGAGTTCTCTAGCCTCCCTATCATAAGACTGTGGACAGAAGTGTCAGTAGAATGAAAGGATATGGTATCGAGGACGGTAGTGGTTGTCGGTACAGGTACCAGCTTCAAGTTCGAACTTGGAACAGTCTCGGAGTCATTAGACTGGACAACATAAAGAAGAGTTCCACTTACTGAGCATACAACCTTTGTTATGATACATACAGTGATAACATACTTAAATCGAAGATTCATACAATCTGCTGAGGAAGTTGGCGACAGTAGGAGGATGATGACTTGGCGGGAAGATGATGTTATGAGGAGAAGTAGGAAAAATAGGGTTGCCCCAATGAATTATAACTTTGGGGTGAATGATGTCACAAACTCTGCGCAAACAAAAGAGTACGTACTATAGCTAGCCGTTGTGCGATGTATGTGATGCAGCACGATGTGAAGTAGTCGATGAATTGCATAGCAGAAGTGCATGCGGTGCACGTGCGTCGTGCGAGCGCTTGACAAACTTTAGTGCGATCGACAACGCAATGGCCGCAGTGTGCGCATCAAATCGACAACGATGTAATGTTTTTACGATGCGATGTGTAGACGATCGTGTCGTTGAAGATTACACAATATTATAGCATAAATTATATGTCTAAACAATATTCCACTTGATCTCAACCGTTTTGGCCATGTCCAGTTTTCCCTGGGCTTCAAGTTCCATACACGCAGCGAGCCGTCCCTTGAACAAGTCATTATCCGTTGTCCGCCTGGCAGATGTATGGCGCCATAGACGAATTCAGTGTGTCCCTCAAATCTCTGGCAGGGTGTGATCGCTGATGCCTCCTTCCTTGTAACTGTGGCTGAAGACATCCTGGCGCACCTCCTTCTTAGCTTTCATCCGACAACTTGAAAGTCCACAATCTTCACTTACAATGTTATGTTCCTGAGGTTCTCCTCACGTATTGGCAGCAAGACCCAGGGCGTTTAGGTCAAGAGTGAACAGCAGGGTGCTACGGTTCGAATGTGTTAGGTGCTGTTTGGACAGCGAACCCTGGTTCGAAAATCTGAGCTCAAAACAACACGTGATGATGGCACGTGATATATTTTATCGATAAGAGATATCGATAGCGATCTGACACGTAGAATAGGAATATATAACATATGTATGTTTGAACTGCGCATAATCATTGCACCCACATGGACCTCGAAGCCCAAACAGCAAACCATCTACATCGACGACGCCAAATTACGATGGTCATCATCACCATCGCAGTCGCTCAAATTTCATGCCTTTATAACCTCTTATTTTTATCACGCGCAGAAAAGGTCCCATATCACACGTCAATTCTCACAGGAAAAGCCTGGGTGTACGAACTCATCAGTGGTCACCCAGACCGAATCAAGCACAATCTCGGCATCGACTTTCAAACCTTTGAGGAGCTCTTACAAGTTCTGCAGCAACATGGATATGCTCAGTCGCGCAACGGCATCACTATCGAAGAGCAGCTAGGTATTTTCCTGTATACGTGTGTTACAGGACTGTCGTCTCGCCATGTTGGTGAGCGATTTCAGCGTTCTCCAGACACGATTACCAGGTAAGTATGTCAATAATTCAAGATAAACTGTGCGCTGATGATTTTCACAGATATTTCAAACGCATGCTCACTTTCTTCTCGTCCCCTCCCTTCTACACTACAAATGTCCGGCTCCCAACCGAAAACACTCCCATTTCTGCGGCAATCCGCGACGACCCACGCTTCAGATTCTTCGATCAATGCATTGGTGCCATTGACGGCACTCACATTCGGGTCTTTGCACCACTCGAACATCACACCGTCCTGCGCAACCGAAAGGGATTTTTATCCCAAAATTGTCTATTCATATGCGACTTCGACTTCTACTTCACATACTCACTCACAGGCTGGGATGGCTCGGCTGCCGATGCCAGTCTATGGAACGACGCACGGTCTCACGATTTGCGCATGCCTGCGCGCAAATATCTTCTCGCTGACGCAGGCTTTGGTACTTGCGATGCGCTTCTCGTACCTTATCGAGGCGTACGCTATCATTTGAAGGAATGGCGTCAAGCAAATCTCATGTGAGTTCATTCGTTCTAGTGTTTTTATTTCTATTAAATTATTTTCTACTAGGCCACGATGTAGAGACTCGCGCCTCTCGATGCCGGATATGCGGCCTTCTTACCCATTTAATTCCCTATCTGTATCAGCTCACATCCTAAGGACCAGTCATTCGCGCTCTCGCGCGCGCGCCCTACGTACGCGCCTCACTCGCACATCGCACACGCACGCGCGCCCTTCGCGTGCGCGCTCCATAGGCCTTCGCGCTCCTACCGTCCGTCCCTCTGTCCTTTGTCCTTGCTGATTCACTGGTGCGTTATTTTTATCTCTCTCATTGAATTAACGAACCTTCGGTCCGACCTCCGTGCTTACATACAGAGAGCCTATTTAAACTTAGAATATATTTAGAAGTTGATATGGTTACTCGGTTCGGGAGCGCGCTCGGAAGCGTGCCGCATAGCGTAATCTCCCTTCTTAAATAGAGGGAGGATTCCTTCGGTTCTGGTACTTACTTTCCCCTTATCTTGATATACTGCAAAGTGTAGAGTTCTCCCTCCAATACTAGAAATCTGATTATACTCCTCCACTGTTGACACCTGTGCCCTTGCTACTCTCTTAAGGACTCCTCTCCTTCATCGTTCAAGCGCGCGCCCGCTTACGCGCGTACCCTCCGCATCTCTCGCTCACGCGCGCATCTCGCGCGCCTTCGCATCGCCTACGCGCGCCTTCGCGCGCGTTACTTTCCCGCGTCTACCAGCGCCCGTCTAGTTGACATAGTTTCCCTCCACCTTATTCGCGAGGAACTTCTCTCAGTAGCTGTCCTTTGGGTCGAGTTGTATTCTCGTATCCAGGTCTTGCTGTAGAGCCCCCTTTCTTTTAGTGTTTTCACCCACAGTCAAGATTCCTCACCTTCAACTGGAGCCCACCGCGAGGGACACTTCTGAGACAACCGGTCGGGTACTCAGACCCAACAGTCGTCGCAGAGCTAGAGAAGAAGCCATCGCCGCATTCGACAGAGCAATTGAATCAATTCTACCAGGACCCTTATTCTTTCAACCCGCGCGCGGTCGCTCGCGCAACATCTCAGAACCGCCACGACCAGATCTAGCGCTCTTAGCGCGCGCGCCTAGACAGCCGATATCGCCAGTCACGCCATCACCGGAAGAATCTGTCAAAGAAGAGTCGTCCGACGACTTTGAAGCAATAGATAACCCAAGAAGCCAAGTTCCCGGAGCGTTCCTCCATACGCCCAACCAACCTCCTTTTATCTCTTCTGACCTATCAGCGCTAAGCGCGCTGACCGAACTGACCGATTCTAGCAAAACCCCGCTTAACGCATTAGCATTCCCCGTGCGCGAGAACGCGCCTCCTACAGTGGGAATTCCGAAAATCAAGCAAGAAGTGTTCGAAACCCCGCGCGCGCCGCCTTCAATTCCAGGCGGTATCGTTATAGCAAACCTTCCCTTCGCATACGCGCGCCAAGTGCCAATCAGTCAGAAGACCTCAGCGCCTACAACATCCCAAACGCCTATTATGTCCACCACAAGAACCAGAATGCCCGTCCGTGGGACAACGGACGCGCCTAAATTTGATGGCACCGCAGACGACCTCGCTGACTTTATAGACCTATACGAGCAGCTCGCTGATGAAGTAGGTCTCCAAGGACTTGATCGCATCAAAGGCATCATCCGCTACCTTGAGCGCGATGATCGCGAATTATGGGGCGGGATGCCTGAGGCGCAAGTAAGCGATTACGACGCCTTTTTAGACGAGGTCAAAGTAATGTATCCCGGATGGGATGGCAAAAGGCGCTACGCGCTTACGGACCTACAAGCCATCGCGCACGAGTATGCTAACAAACCGATGCCTTCTTACCAGGAACTGAGCAGTTACCTGCGCGCATTCAAGAAGATCATGCAACCGCTTTTGGCGGAGGACAGAATCGGGAAAGCCGAGCGCGACCGCACATTCATGGAAGGTATTCCTAAGGACACTCAGGCGCAAATCCGCACGCGCCTCATGATCAAGTTCCCGGACCACTACCCGCAAGATCCATATCCGTTCATGAACGTTTTCGCAGCTGGACAGTTTGTACTACCAGCGAACGCGCCCGCACCAAGCGCAACGGCTAGTGCGCCTAAGGCGGCATCATTCACTAACCTGGTCACAGCTAACACGTCAATGGAATCGCCCGCGCAAGGAACGGTAACCAAGCGCGAATATAAGCGCGAGGCGTCCGCATTCAACGACTGCTCCTTTTGTGGCAGTCTTGAACATTATTATGCTCGTTGCACGGAGAGACAAAGGTACATCGACGCGGGCAAATGTAAGGTTAACGAAGAGACGCGCAAGCTTGTTTTGCCAAATGGCGAGTGGATTCCAGGTCGAGGACTACTCAAGGAACGACTAGACCGACACCACGCGAGCCGCGCTACCTCAGATACGACCGCTAGCGCAAGCACCACAGCAGGGCTGTTCTATCGCGCGTCTGAGGAGATCGACGCGGTAATTGAAGTAGGGTCATCCGCGTTTGTGCACACAGTCGCGCGAACAGAACTTGATGGAGACGATGACACGGTGGACCTCATGACCGAGGCGCTAGCCTACGTAGCCGCGAAGCGCGAGCAGAAGCGCAACACCAAAGGTAAAAACGTCCGCTTTGACGGTGTCGAAGTACCCAGCGAAACCCGCGCGCGCCCGAGGCCCGCATCTAGACAAGCCACGGTAGAGGAGGAGATAATCTCCCCCGAAATACAAGCCTCGTCTGACAAAGGTAAAGGAAAGGAGCTAGCGAAAGTTGCGCCGTCAAGCGCGCCAGTAGGCGCAAAGGCGCCCCCCAAAGGAGCGGCGCCATCGTCGTCCGCGCCTTCTCCATCATCATCATCGCCATCTGCGACCGCATCGTCATCAGTATCAGCATCGGTATCACCATCATCGTCATCATCGTCACCAGCACCATCACAATCATCATCGTATCGTTATGCATTCGCGCTCGAGGACAAAGAGGCCGACAAACGCGTTGTCGAGCGTCTTCTCGATTCCAATCTCAACATTCCCGTAAGGGAATTATTAGCTGTATCTCCTGATGTTCGCCAACATTTCCGCGAACTCACGACCAAGAAGCGTGTCACGGTAGGCGCAGTATCAGTACACGAATTATCAGGACACCCCGCGACCGATCAATGGTTAAGGCAATACGAAGACGCGCGCATGCGAAGCGAGGACGGCAGGATCGTCGCGGATCACTTCGCGCCCCTGCGCTGTATCCGCGCGAAGACATCAGAGGGGCGCACTCTCACGTGTGTCCTAGACCAAGGCGCAGAGGTAGTAGTCATGCCAAGAGATGTGTGGAAGGCGCTCGGAGTACCGCTCAGATCGGACCACAGCCTCAACATGGAATCAGTGAACACATCACGCGACGCGACGCTTGGAGTCGTGGAGAATGTTTCGCTTGATTTTGGCGCAGGACCCATGTATTTTCAAGTCCAGGTCATCGAGCGCGCGACCTTCGAGGTTTTGCTAGGGCGCCCGTTTTTTAAGCTTACTTCATGTCGCACATTTGATCTCCCTGACGGGGAGCAGGATCTTATACTGACAGACCCTAATGCGCGCAAGGAATTGCGCATTCCAACCCTA